GGGTGGCTCTTAGAGGCGATTCTTGGTGTTTCCCGGGAGCTCATTACCTGCCTCTAGCTGAAGCCTGCCCCACCTCTCTAGCTAGCTCTCCAGTCTCTGTCCCGATCCATCGAGGCAGACAGCTGACATCAGCTGTGGGCCTCCGAGAGAGAGTGAGTGTGTGTTGGGAGAAAATTAGCAATTTTGCAATGTGCTCACATAAATCCATTCTTATTAAGGACTGTGCTCTTTGAATTGTAGGAACTATTAGTCATTGATAGTGTTAGTCTCCAAGACCTGGGCAGGTTAGCTCTGTAGCATCAGATCACTAACCAATCACGGTCCTCAGTGAGCTAGTTCTTCTGTGAACTGACTAGAGTTGACTGGGCTCAGCTTAATAGATCTTCAGCCCTGTATGATATCAGCCAAGACCACACACAATCAGCTATGGGCATGACTAGTCCAGAACTTCCAAGATAGTACACACACGGCTGGTGCCGTGGTGGGGACAGGGAGAAGCAGGGCTCAGCGGAGACACTGGGGTGACTGAATTGGTCTCCGTCTCTGTTTTTCACTCTTGCTCTTCCTACCCTCCACATTTTCCATTGGTGTCATTGGACTTTATCCGTGGTGGTCCATGTCTCCCAAAGCTGTCAGGCAGAAGTTTCTAGACCTTCTTAGGTCTTTGGCTTAAGCCCAGCCCTGCATTCTAATTGCTACCAGAAGTCATGGAGCCAAGAGGGGCTACACGAGCCTGTCAACACCAAGAGGCTCTGCACACTAGGTCTGACTGTCCCACATGCCAACAGTACATCCAGTGCTGGGGGAACTTGGAGTCTCAGCCAAGGTGAGTCAGCAAAAGGAGCGTATTCTGAACCCCAGTGTCCCACTGGGCAGCCAATGGCCTTTTTATGTCAAAATGGCCTGATGACTTGATAAGAACAGAAATTTAGAGAGGTGGGAACGCGGCTCAATGGTAGAGCACTTGCCTAACATGTGAGGCAAAAAACACACATGTATACACACACACACACACACACACACACACACACACACACACACACACACATACTTTGTGACCCACTGTCTGCTTCAGGGCCTAACATGGAGAAAGGCTGCATTTGCACAAGTTGAATCTGGACCCCTCTTTCAAACCCCGATGTTCTGGAATTTAAATGAGGACAGGAACTGATGCAGAGCTCTGCTGGCCAGTCTCCTGCTCACAGAGCCTCACCAGGCTCTTCTGCTTGCTAGCTCTCTGCTCCCTGCTCTGCGCTTTGAGTGCCTCGTGGGCCAGCACGATACCCCGGCACTGTGTCAGCAATGATTGTAAATAATACTTTTCCCCAACCTTTAATGAGCCTTTCTTTGGCGTCTGCATGCAATGATGAAGAGCATTCTTTTCATTAGGGAAATATAAACCATGCATGGCAGTCACCAGTCCTGCACGCACTGGAATATAGGCCAGTCTGGCTGGTATTGAGTTGAGAATGCTCCCCAAACCCAGTTCCAGGCCATCCGCTTATCTCCCTTGCTGTTGCTGTCTGAGTTCAGGCCAGGCCAGCAGTCATGTGTCTAACCCAGGGTGGATAGATGAGCATGTTCCTGTAGAGGCCAGGTATCCTCTATGGAACTGGCATCTGGCCTCACACACACAGAGAAAGCTTCAACCGTGTGGCTGCTGACCAGAAGATGGCCACATAGAAACGAGATTTCATGCTCTGAATGGAGAACAAATATGGCACATGGCAATGTAAAAACGAGCACTTGGCACCGGGCTCAGAGGAGGGCAAGGTAGCTGTCGATCTCAGGGGAAGCTGCACAGACAGAGTGTAACTGAGCCCAACTTTGGGGAGATGCAGACTTGGACTGTGGGCAGGAGTGAGGAGGGCTGGGCTGGGGTGGAGGCCAGGAAGCTAGAGGAGCGGACATTCCTGGAAGGGGACCGAAGCGAGGCTCTCCAGAGAATCAGAGCCGGTGGGACACATACAGATTTGGGAGGGAAGACATTGCTTTATGGGACCATGGAGGCTGCATCATCACACCATAGCGTGTGTAAGCTGCGAACCAGGGAATCTGGCGGTTTTCTTCCCCCTCAGCCAGAGGTCTGAGAATTGGAACATTGTTGAAGCAGAACATAGATATCCTAGCCCAAGCAGAGGGAGTTCTCCCGTCATCTGCTGGTTCTGTTGGGCCCTTGATGGGCTGGCTGACACCCAGCCACGTTGATAGAGTAGATAAAGAAATGTTTCAGCAGCTCTTAACCCACTATTCCTTAACTCAGTTAAATCAACACAAAACCATCACAGGGCCACAGGCAGAGACAAAGCGGTTGGAGGCCGGGGTGGCAAGGAATAGATCTTCCTGGTCATCCTCTTTAGACAGAACTCACAACTTTACAGCATCTGTCCCTTCTCCCTCCTCCAAGTGTCCCCTATTCCCTGAGCACCCCAAGCACCCCACTCAAGCAAACATGAGCTCCTACTGCCCCTGTCTCTTGGGTTCTCTCTCAGCTGCTCTTTAACCTCATCTTCTGGAGCTGCTCACACGGGGTGGGGGTGGGGGTGGCTCTTAGAGGCGATTCTTGGTGTTTCCCGGGAGCTCATTACCTGCCTCTAGCTGAAGCCTGCCCCACCTCTCTAGCTAGCTCTCCAGTCGTCTCTGTCCCTGTGGTGGTGATACACTGGGCATGCTCTGTTAACGTCGCGATCTTAAGATGATAGCACACACACACACCAAGGGCTGGATCTGTAGGCTGGCTGGTCTGGCTGAAGAGACATGGACAGGTGCCTGGGGGAAGGACAGAATGACAGCGAGGCTACGAGTCACCGTGAGGGCAGCAAATGACAGTCTGAGAAGAAAGCGGAGCTCCTCTCGCAGACGGTGAGAATCAGCTTAGGGGGTGATAGCCATGCTGGAGCTTGAGAAAGAGGTCGTAAAGGGTGTCACTCACATGAGGCTTTTGCTGTGGAGATGCAAAAGAGTGGGAGGCTGGAGATCCAGGGAGAGAGAGAGAGGGAAGGAAGGAGGGAAGGAGGGGTGGAGGGAGGGAGGGAAGAAGAGAAGGAAAGAGGGTG